TTTTTAGCAGGGCCTGTTGCAGCAGAACAAGGGGGAATGGTTTTAAACTTAAAAAAAGACGGTGGATTTAGACTAGATATAAGGAAGACATTTTTCACAATGAGAGTGGTGAAACACTGGCACAGGTTGCCCAGAGAGGTGGTAGATGCCCCTGCCCCCCTGGAAACATTCAAGGTCAGGTTGGATGGGCCTCTGAGCAACCTGATCTAGTTGAAGATGTCCCTGCTCACTGCAGGGAGGGTGGACTAGATGACCTTTAAAGGTCCCTTCCAACCTAAAGATTCTATGATCTCTTTGGTCCTGGCAGACCTGAGTGGTTAGGTGGAAAGAACACTGAACTCTGACGGTTCCTGGGATGCCTAATATAAACTAGTAGAAAACTGCAAGACGTATAGCTTTGTAGTTTGTGTTAGGGGCTGGATCAGACCCCACACCCTTCAATCAGAAAATCATAAAGATTTCTTCAGTTCATTAAATGTCCTTTCATCTCAACTAAGCCTGCTAGCTGAGCATAGTATTATCTGCATTTCAGTAAGAAACCAAGAGACTCTCAAATTTGATGATATGTCACTTATCACATTTACAATTCTGAAGAGATTTTTAAAATTTCATGCTTAATCATTTCACATATATAAATTATTTTACATGTGACTAAAACTAAAGAAATTGAATATGACAAAATATTTTATTTAGGTTTTGGGTTTGAAATTATTTAGATTATATGTAAACTAAAAGTTTTTTATAAAAACTGGAATTTGAATGTAGAGAGGAAACTGGTGAAGTTCAATGCTAGTTAATAATTTTAAATTCAGGTATGAATCTGAGTTTGTATGTTTCATCAAACACACACGCAGCTTTTTCTTCAGATGGAAAAGAAAATACTTAACCGTATTTTCTATGGAAGGTCAACCTTAATTGGAGTGAAGTAAATTAAAATCTTGTATTAAACTTTTAGATGATATATCCAATCCCTTTTGTAAACATAATATTGAAACCATACTGGATAAGAATCACGATTATTTGTGGAGTTGTTCTAATTCCACACATGGACTTTACAAGTTCATGCAGTCAGTGCTACTTGTAGTACTAATCCATTAACAAGAAGGTGGTACCATGGATGACTGCAGTCCACCTGGCCACCTCCATCCTGGCTGTGTATGTGTCGCTGCCTATGCTGACAGTCAAACTCAATGTAAAGATAATTTCATCCATTGTGAAAATTTGGACGACCTCCTTTTTTTTTTTAAACAGTGACTTCAGCCAGTTTACAGTGACTTTAAGCAGTTTTCTTTAACTTCTTTTCTTACAGAAGGTCTCTGCTTTTTCTTAAACATTTGCTGTGTTTTTTTCCCCTTTGCTAACTGACAATACAAAGCAATGATGGAGTTAGTGTTAAAATTTTGTGCTGAATTTTTTTAGGATTACAGCAGAGTTGCTACGTCTCCTCTGTGCAGAGTCACAAGTCAAAGAGCAAATAAAAATGTATGAAGGAGTTCCAGTCTTGCTCAGTTTACTCCATTCTGATAATCTCAAACTTCTATGGAGTGTAGTTTGGATTCTGGTACAGGTTTGTGAAGACCCTGAGACTAGTGTGGAAATCCGGATTTGGGGTGGAATAAAGCATCTCCTTCATATATTACAGGGGTAGGTTTTCAGTCTTCAGCCTTGTGGCCATTATATGTAATAGTTTCATGTATTAAGATATATTTGACCAAGCCCTATTTTATCAAATAGCATCTTTGTTTTGTTCAGCTGTATGTGATGTCTGCAGAAATTAAAAGGTTATTTAGAACATAATGAATAAGCAGTATTTTTTTCAGCTATGTGTATTTCATTGTTATCTTAAAGTATTTTTCGTATTTTCAGTGTATAAACTAAATAATGAATAGATGATAAATATGTCATTACTGTCTACTTAGTTTCCCTATTAGACACATATTTAGTGAGCTAGAATTATGAATATAATTGATGAATTTGGTGAAGGAATTTTCTGTTTAAAAGCTTGTTTATTTTTACAAAGTGTATTAGCTAATTTAGTGAAAAACATACAAATTTTCAGAACTCAGAAATGGTTAACAAAGATATATGAAGCCATTTTTTCACACTGCAATTTGATTTGGTGTTATGTTTTGGTTTTGTGTGGTTTTTTTTTTTTTCAGGGAAAGAAATCTTGTTTCCGATCACTCTTCAGTTGGAAGTTTATCTAGTGCAAACGCAGCAGGGAGGATCCAGCATCTTCATTTGTCAGATGATTTGAGTCCTGATGAGATGCAAGAAAATACTTTCTCACTGCAAGCAGGTAAGCTTATAAAGCCTAATACTCTGTTATGTGTTTATTTACAGTTGAGCAAAGGGATTAAAAATTGACGTTGTAAACATTTATACCTGCTTGAGGGAGTGGGAGTCAATACCAAGTCAACTGTATTTATTTCTAAATGTGCAATACCAGCATGTATTTTGAAAAAAACCCACTTTTTTTAGAAAGAAGCATAAGATAAAAGTATTAAGTACATGGGAATCATATATATTTCTTCCACCTGTAAAAACGTCTCAAACATATGTATGCTCTGTGTGTGTGTGTGTATATATATATTTATGTATATATAAATATATATATAAAAATAAAACTTTGCTTTTAGCCTGAGATTATTTTTATTTGGTCATATTTTTCCATCTATCCAAATTTACTGTGGTGGATCAATTATGAATTCATCATGATGGAACTCTTTCAAAGTGGTATTTTAAAGACTACCAGTCAGGCAAGGATTCCTCAGTAGTTATGGAGAGAATCCCGTTTAGAGGAGATTTCTCAATAGCTCAATAGCTATCCATTCTGAAATGCCTTCTGGAGGATCATGTCTTTTTCCAGTGACTATAGAAGGAGAACACAAAATATCCTTACTAGGATTACATGAGCCTTTGCAGTATCTTCCTGAAAGCTGTAACACAATACGTAAGAGTTTTTGAATACTTTATCATGAATGTTACCTCTGAAGGGTTAGTAATGTGAAATAAATTGCAATACCAAACACATTGCCAGTGTGGAGCATATTTCTGGGTTACTTCTGCTTTCCTTGAGGACTCCTAAGAGAGACGGTAAGCACTGAACTTACAGAGGTCGTTTTTACTTCTGACTGAGTACTTGTTTATATTTTTAGCCTTCTGTACTGTGTCTAAGTGGCAAGGTTTTGTTAGCAGGAGGCCTGAAGGGGTGGCCTCTGTGGGAAGGAGTAAGGGATTGCCCTGTGCTGGACATAGCTGGTTCCAGCTGGCTCCAGAACAGACTCACTGCTGGCCAAAGCTAAGCCCATCAGCGAAGCATGATGTGAAAACATCTGTGAAAACATAGTTAAGAAAGGGCAAAAATGCTGGGTGAGCAGAGGAGGAGAGGAAAAATAGGAGGGGGGGGTAAGAAACAGCAGTGCTTTTCCATCCTGTTTTCTCCCTCTATCCTATTAAGGAGGGGGAGTGAATGAGCAGCTGGATGGGCATTTGGCCCTTAGCTAAGGTTAACCCACCACACCAGCTGAATATCTTTATGAATCTGGCCCTAAATGTTACATCCGAATTTTTATTCTAGCTTGTTGTGCTGCAATTACTGAACTGGTGCTCAATGAGACTAACGCTTACCAGGTTGTACAGGTAGGAAGACTTTATTCAGTTAAGTAAGGCATTATGGCTTATAATTTGACTTATTGTTCTTATTTGTCACCATCATTTAATTAACAAACAAAATGCATTTGAAAGAAATTGGAAAATATGCCTTTCTATAAATTTAGTATTTCTGTTTCTTTATACATTTACACACAGAGACACATACACAAAATTATCAACATATATATCTAGTTGTCTGGGAGAATAAACAGATTTATTCAGACAGGGTTTATTTTGGTTGGCATCTCTTGCCATACTTTTGCCATATTCAAAATAAGATAGTAAATAAAAGTAATCATGGTGTTAACTGAAAAACACAAATTCTGAATTTAATGAAGCTTATTAAAACAAACTCTGTGCAGCTTAATACTGGTGCATTGTCGTTTCACAAACAATTTCTCTTTTCCTCAGAGTTTGGTATTTCTGAGTTAGCTTCCTGGCACTCCATCCCCAGGGCCATGTTTCTAAACTACATTTTAAAATGTAATATTTAAATCAGCTAGACTCTATGGTTCTGAAAACCATATCAGGGATGGTATTCCAGACGAAGTCAAAGACACAAATATTTAGGACGCTAATACCAGCTAAAATCTGTAGCCAGCTCTTCTATTCTAAATGTTAAGTCAGTGATCAAAGCCTTCAAGTTAGCTTAAAACCTAACTAGAAGTATTCCTAGAGGAACTGAGAGAAGAAAGACATTAAATATGACTGAGAAAGAAGTTCATGTATATTTCAAAATTATTGGCTAAGAGGAAAGGAATGGAAGTAAGTCTAGAAAACATTATTTTCTATGTATCTTAAGCACTAAAATTTTCAATAAACCGTACAGTTTTAGAGAACTTTTTAGCTGAACAATATAATTGCATACATTTTAGGCTGAGTCTGGTTTCATCAAATAAAATATCACTTATTTAAATTGGGTATGTTTTGAAAACAGTCTAACGCCTGGAGGACTTGGGAAATAAAGGGCTGATTTTAACATAAGCAATGCAGAAAAAATCTTTAGCAGTGTATGATAGCTGGTGTTGGTAAATTGCTTAAAAATTGATGGGACGATGTGCAGGCTGGAAAAAGAGGTTTCAAGCTTAACTTCTTCCCCTGCTCATCCTGTTAAAAAAGAACAACCTCTCCCTATGTCAAAACACCAGTCAATGTCCCTCTTTCAGATTAGGACATAGCTTTAAGCATGTTCATTTCAACTGGAGTTCCACCCTACAACAGCTCCTTTCATTTTAAATACTACTTATTCCTATGTGCTAGTATAACTTAATAGAGAGCTGCATGGTGAACAAGGTGAAGGAACTCAGATTAAAAACAGATAGAGGAAGAAGATTTGCAGTTCTTTCAGTTATGTGCTAAGAAAGTCAATCTAAGCGACCTCTAAAGGTTTATCTCATTCCGTGGCAAAGGACTTGGTTCAGGCAGTTGAGAACCATTTGCTTCTTCTGTAGCTCTCTCTACCTGTCCATCCTGTGTCCTGTCTCAACAGCCTCGGTAGCAGTCTGCAGCAATTCTGGTAGCAGGCCAGAATGTGTTTTATGACTCAATGGCTCTATTGCACAGCTTAAAACCTTAGCTCAACTCTACCTTTATGAACAGTTGAAGAAAACGTGTCATGAACTGCAGCAGAGCTGACACATATTCCCTTCAACTATGCTAGCAAGGAGAATAGTCTCCAACAGGGAGCTTGTCAAATAACTGGGAGCAGTACTGTAACTGAATCTACCACTGCCCGTCTATCAAACCAACATGATGGATACATTAACAGAGGACACACGGTTACATGAAAATGGAAGCTGAAATACAGTATGGTTTTCACAAAATCCTACTGAATCATAAAATCTTTGGGTTGGAAGGGACCTGTAAAAGTCATCTAGTCCACCCCCCCCTGCAGTGAGCAGGGACATCTTCAACTAGATCAGGTTGCTCAGAGCCCCGTCCAACCTGACCTTGAATGTTTCCAAGGGGGGCAGGGGCATCTACCATCTCTCTGGGCAACCTGTGCCAGTGTTGCAGCACCCTCATTGTGAAAAATTTCTTCCTTATATCTAGTCTAAATCTACCCTCTTTTAGTTTACAACCATTCCCCCTTGTCCTGTTGCAACAGGCCCTGCTAAAAAGTCTGTCCCCATCTTTCTTATAAGCCCCCTTTGAGTCACAGATGTATTCCTCAGCTATCACTTCTGATGTTTCCCCAGTTTATATTTATTGTGACTGGATTTTTGGTTCCTGACAATTCAAAGTATCCACATGGTAACAGGAAATCTATTTCCTTGACCTCTAGAGATAGACGCATTGCCTCATTATCTGTTCTCAAGCTCTCTTTGCAGTATCAGTTTAAATGTAACAATGATTTAATTCTTATGTACACTTAAGTCATTTGAGATTATAATTCAGGTGTGAAGTAGGATGTTGCAAACTTGTCAATTGGTATTAGCTTCTGATTTATCTGAAGTAACATTGGATTTTATTTGTGGTTTCTGTGCAGAAGAGTGCTATTAATATTGACCTTTTTCCAGGCAAATGGAATATATACAATAGCAAAGCTGATTTTACCAAACGAAGAAAGGAATGCTGAAAAAGCTAATTTATTACAGGTAACTCCCTTTATTATCATTGCACATTGAAAGCCCCCAACGATCCCTGAGAATTTTTAATGATTTTAAAGTTTATTTTAAAGTGCAGTAAAAAAATCTACGTAAAGGGGGGAAAAAAAAAAACACCACCAAAACAAAACCAGGAATAATAAATGGCCCAGGAACTGAAAGTTAAATAATGACTCAATTTCTGGTTTTCTGTTCTGATCTACTTTGTTTCTGGCATCTCATATAGTGTAAAGGAAGGTGAATATTTTCCTTGCGATAATCTTTCCTCTGCTTTTTCAGGCTTCCTATCATCAGATCTTCTTAGTGCCTTGGTCTTTATTGACTCTCACTGTAGATTTCACACTAATACCTGTTTGTTTCTGGATCATCTTACTCTGGCTGTTAAATAAAATACAGGAAAACATCACATGAAGTAGAGCAAATTTAAATGCAGGATAAATATAGAGCTAATAAACATAGAATGGCTCTTGGTTTTGCATATCAATACACCCATAAATGTACTGGTTTGAGTCAACTTAGGCTAAAAGTTATCAGTAGTAATTAATTATCTGGTAGCTCTTCTCCAGTCTCTGTGAAATGGTGTTGGTGTTTCTCTCTAAGCTATAGGAAAGTAGTGGTCTGGGGTTCAGAGATGAACACAACTACTGCTGCTCCATTTACCCTTCTGTGGGCAAGTGTGAGGACGTCGTTAGCACAGGTGAATCCTGCCTCTCACCTGATCTTTCTTCTGGCATGGCCTACACTATAACATATCTACATAGCTGCTCAACTGTCTAATCAGGTAGACATGCCTTGATAGTGAGGGAAGGCATTGCTACAAAAAAATTTCATTGTAGAGTCGTCTTTCTCATCACAGTTCTTCTAGATTATGGTTAGAGTGCCGATTCAGTGCAGTATGTACTTTTCTTCAGCAACGAGGTTTTGTAGAGCACTTCAGTTAAATCAGCTTAAGAGTGAGATAAATTAAAATCTTCCTAGAGAGAGGAACTAGAGACTCTGAGACTGACATGGAGTCTAAACCGGAGCATATGCTCAGTACAGTTGCCTCATACAAGTGTAAGGAGCTTAATTTATGCCCATCGAGATTTTTAGATTCCAGCAGAGTGTGATAGAAAACAACTCACAAAGAGATACTAAGCAACTGTAGTTGGATTAAACATGAAGCCGTGTGAATTAATAATGGACTTAATTATTACATATGAAAACTAAATGTATTTTAGGCAAACAGTAAGAAGAATTGTTTCTTTAATGAAACCTTGTTCGGATTCTCACACTGCTATCTGTATTGCCTTTATTGTTGTTACTGCTATGCAACACAGTTGCAGCTGTTGGAATACACTTTTTGAATTTCACAAGCATTTTTCTTAGAATTCTTGCAGTGCTGGTCTGGTTTCTTTACTGCTCCACTATCTGTGTTTTCAATGATTGAATTTTCAGCTTCTTTCTACCTTACTACCTTACTGATCTTATTACATTACTTCAAGGATGGCAGTGATACCAGCCACTTATTCTGCATATGTACCATACATAAAAATCATCATGCCTTAACTGAAGCACATTACAAATGTTAAATATTAATCTCACAAAACTACTGTGAAAAAGACAAATATTATTGCCATTTAAAATATCTCTTTATTTTGTTATTAATCTACTATCGTGTCCCTTCACTGGTGAGCTTTCTACAGTAGGATCTCTGTATAGCCTCTAAAATGAAAAACTTTCAAGGTAGCAACTATGGCCCAGACGGTCTGGGTTATTTTGTTATTTTTGGGTTTTTTTTGTTATTTTTGCTAAGTTGTGACTGTGATCTTCAGTGGAATGTTAGACACACCATTCTTCCACTGAGATGGGGAGTTTACTTTGCACTAAAAAAACCCATTGTCCATAAAAGAAATGGCTTCTTGGCAGCATTAACATACATTCCTTTTCTGTAAAATTTCAAGGATCCTGCTTCCTTCAAAAGTAGCATTTGGCCTTGATTTTCTTCCTCTAATGCATTTTTTGTATATTGAATTTTTTTTTTAACATGGGCATTAATTCTGCAGTTGTCACTAAGACAGTTACCATTGTCTAAATAGGGATTATCACACTGGACTGTAGTAGTGTTTTAGTCACTGATGCAATAAAGTAATTCTAAATTATCTTAAATACATTTACTATTTGTATTGTTTCAGATATCAATACCTTATTTCCCTTTGGCTTACTTTATACAATCATCTTTGTTTGGTCAGCCATATATGTGCCATATTATTGACTCTTGATAAACAGAATTAAAGATAAATTGCATAAAAGCATACATATTAACTACCTGCCAGTGTTTAAAACCTGCTGTTTTAAAAATAAACTTTAGTTGAGATCATATTGGAACTAAGGTCCATAAAGGTAGAAACTGAGGTACATAAAGATCTCTGTAAATATGGTGAAGTTAGTATTATAAAAAAAAGTTGACCATTCTCTCTTTCTCACTTTTCTTTTTTGTCCCCTGTTAGAACTTGTGTTTTTTTAAGCTGCATTTTTCATGAAAAATGCAAAATGCTGTTTCTACTGCATCATTAAAAAAGCACTGATTACATTTACCTTTTTTCAGCATTGGAGAAGAGAGCAGGTCTCAAGCTTGAGCTATCTGCAAAAAAAAAAAGAAGATGATTAGGACTTAGATGTTCCTCAGCTTGTGTCATAGCTATAGTCACCCACTTTTTTTAAACTATTTTTTTTTCTTCAATGGCCCTGCCTACTTTTAAAATACAGGAGGAACTTAATATAAGGTTAATAACATAATCTATCTAGTCATTTAAGTACAAAGTTTACCAATGTGTAGAGTCAAGGGGAATCCTCAAAGTTTATCTGCAGCTTTTCCATTTGTGTATAAATTTGTCATTAATTTAAGTATTTTTTTCTGCTGTAGTGTTATGCATTCAGAGCCCTGAGATTTCTCTTCAGTATGGAAAGAAATCGACATATCTTTAAAAGGTATGTTAATAAAATGTTTTGTGAAACTCCTTTAGGATAGCTTTCAAAAGTCATCACTCCAATCAGAAAGATGTGTTTTTTTAAATATAATTTATTTTCAATAAGAAGAACAGTAACAGGCAACTTCTGTCCTGTCCACAGCTACAGATAACCCTTCCGGCATTGCATCAGTGCTAGCCTACAAGATTTTAGATATTTTAGATATTGCTTACTATCTGTTAGCTTTTGCTTTTCTCAGTCCTTTTCATCTATTAGATTAGACTTCTTGGACAAAAATTCTAAAATGAGTGTCATGATTCTTTAAATGCAGAGAAATGTTAATTCTATCACTTAATGCATTACAAGAAGGATCTCGGATAAAGTGACAACAAGCATAACATAAAGTACTATAAGAAAAAAAGGAAAATGACTGGAAACTCAGGAGGTGCATTGACTTTCAAGAGGCTTATACTTGTTTGGAGTATTATATTAATACTGACATTTATATTAATACCCAATCCATGGAGGCTGAAGTCTGACTTTTGAAAGGTCCTTTAACTCCTATGTATGTAGTGTTAGAGGGTTATTATCTGAATAGATAGGTAAAAAACAAGTGTATTATTTAGAAAGTTCTAACGTAAGTTGTAATAATAAATATTGGAAAGTCTCTGCTGCAGATTAATAGCTACTGTGTGCACTGTTTCTAAAATATATCAAAATTTAAACCTTTGTAGACTTTTCCCTACTGACTTGTTTGAAATCTTCATCGATATTGGACATTATGTGCGTGATATCAGTGCTTATGAAGAGTTGGTAGCAAAGCTAAATTTATTAAAGGCAAGTAAAAACCTTCGTAGCTTTAAGAAGCTGTATTCTTAGCACATTCTTAGCATAAGAAAGACATGAAATATTTTATATTTATTTGTTTGTCATTTAATGTATAACCAGGAGGATAAATTGAAGCAAATTGCTGAAAGTATTGAGAGCATGAATCAGAATAAGGCACCTACAAAACATATAGGTAACTACGCAATTTTAGAGCACCTTGGCAGTGGAGCTTTTGGAAGTGTATATAAGGTAAACTTCCCTTTTGATATTAATTTACAAGTTTGAGGGGAGGCTTCATGAAGAGGGTCTAATACCTATTTTAGGCACTACTGCCCTTTGAATTTCAATAGGAGGATGCAGGTTTGAAAAGGCCTTTATGGATCTGGGCTTGTTAATATTTACTGTGATTTTGTTTGTGCCCTCTTGTATTTGACTAGTGTATCTCTTAAGTTTCCTACTTTTACTTTCTTTTAACTCCTTTCCACAAACAGCTTTTCTGTCTATTGCAAAGGCTAACAAATCTGTGTAAACACACAGAAATTCAAACATTTTTTATATGAAAAGCAACACTGGGCACAGATAATGTTACTTCAAACACTGTGGTAGGTTCAGCAGTGTACTGCTAACCTGCATTGTGGGGCTCCAGTTCTTTTGACTAATCATATCATACACAGAAAAATCTATGACTCTGATAACTAATCTGGGAGCCATAATAATATCCTTTCTTTCTCCAACCTCTATTAATTTTACAAGGGTTTTATCTTTTTAATAGGTTAGAAAACATAATGGACAAAATCTTCTGGCAATGAAAGAAGTCAATTTACACAATCCAGCATTTGGAAAGAACAAAAAAGACAGAGACAGCAGCGTAAAGAACATTGTCTCTGAATTAACCATCATCAGAGAGCAAGTATGTCTCATGGACTCTAGTTTCATATGTGGGCATTCTGCTATTAGCATTATTAACCATGAGTTCTCATATAACAGGGCTTCCAGTTGCTGTTACTATTTTTGTCCCATCAGTACAATATTGGCCTCTTTTACCTGAATGCTGTCAATATTGAAAACCTTCTTACTGTAGTGTTAGCAGCAGTGCAAATGCTTGTTACTAAAGATTCTTACTTTCTGTATTGGCAGTGTTTGAACTTTTTTCAGGGATTCTGTAAATTAAGATTGTGATAGAAAACTGATGAGCCTTTGTTCCACTTAATGAATTCTTGGGTTTAAAATACAGTGAGAAGATAGCCTTTTTTGTAATAGCAAATGAGAAAAACAGACTGGTCGTTAGTTTTCTTAGGCTAAGAAAGCCTAAGAAAAAGAAAAGAAAGCCTAAGAAAGCCTATACCTTTGATGCAGGTATAATTGCCTTTCTTCAAACTTCATTTGCTCTCTTTCAGTTATTAAGGGGGGAGTGGATAGGAATTATACTGTATATTTCTCCTTAGTTGCTCTAGTAATGTGCAGCACTTCTCTGTGTTTGGGGTAGCAGCAAAGGTCTATGGCAATGCAGTTCATAAGCAAGTTTGAGGAATCCTTGTGGAATCCTTCCTTCCAATGTGTAGCCAAACATTATAAACACTGTGCATCAGTTTGACTATTCTAAACATCTAAATTTCTTTCCTCATTCTAGCTTTATCATCCAAATGTTGTACGGTACTATAGAACCTTCTTGGAAAGTAAGTATAAATGCAGAGATTTACCACATTGTACATAATGAAGAAATAAAAATATGTAATAAAAGCACTTACAGCTTGGAAGGAACATGTCAAATTTGAGCAATAAATGGTAATATTTTCTTATATTCCTTTAAAGTTGAAAAAATGGTAAGAAATAATATTTATATTTGTTTATCAGTAAAACTAGATGCAAAGTAAATATGTAGAAAGCATCATTCTCATCTTATAGAGTTAAGAATCCCAAATTTACAACTGGAATGCTAAGCAGGGAGAAAAGCTATAGAGACTAGTAAAATGAATGGTACAGATTGCTCAGCCATATTCTTTTTTTATAAAGAGCTATCTACATACACCAGCCCATTGAGTGTATATCAGGCACTGAATTTCTTATAGTTGCTGTGATATAAATTGAGGGAAAAATGGAAAAACAATGAGTAGAACTATGATTAAAATGTATTTGTCTGTACAAATAAATTTTTAAAAAGTAAAAAACACAGCTTTTAAAATGTATTTTAACCTCAAATACTCCATTTTCAAATATCTTCTGTATAAATGTAACATTCTATTAATTAATTTTCTTTTATCTAGATGACAGATTGTACATAGTCATGGAGCTCATAGAAGGAGTGCCATTGGGAGAACACTTTCACTCATTGAAGGAAAAGCAACAACAGTTTACAGAAGAAAGAATATGGCATATATTTATCCAAGTAAGAGCCTCTATTTTTTTTTATTACCAGGACTTTCCTGCATGTAACTAGTAGTACCATTTCTGTTTGTTAGGCTAATAAATGACAAAGTAATGCTTATTATATCAGGCACTAATATCAGATATTAATTTAATTTTATATGCCTTTATTCAGGTTGTACTTAAGAATCTTTGTAAGGCTCTTTCTGTTCATTTTTAAGCTCTGTCTAGCTCTTCGTTATTTGCATAAAGAGAAAAGGATTGTTCATCGAGATCTCACTCCAAACAATGTCATGCTGGGGGATAAAGACAAAGTTACAATTAGTAAGTAGAAGTACTGTACTTGAAGAAAATTTCCCATGATGTATGTGAGTAGAATTTCTTTACTAAAACTCTCAGAAGGTTTCAGATTCCTGGGCATTGGTGACCCTACTTGGAAGCTAGTAACATTGCATTATTATACTGTTGCGTAAAATAATTGCTAATTGTATTAAACTCATTTCCTCTAGTCGAGTCTGTTTTGCACATGATGGTAACTGGTAAGTGATCTCCCTGTCCTTATCTTGACCCACTAGGTTTTAGTTATATATTCTCTCCCCTGTCCAACTGAGAAGGGGAGTGATAGAATGGCTTTGGTGGGCACCTCACATCCAGCCAGGGTCAACCCACCACAGTCCTTTTTGGCACCCAGTGTTGGGCATGAGGAATTCAAGATAAGGATAGTAATTGGGAGAGGTACTTCCAGTAGCTTCTCACAGAAGCCACCTCTGTAGGTCCCGCCACTACCAAAACCTTGCCATTCCTGCCCAATACACTGATGAAGGTTTTTTGATCATTGCCACAAGGTGTCATCAGCCATGACTCTATTTTTTACACCTACGTATGTCAAATATGATGGAGGAGATGATTTAGCCCCAAAAACATTAAACTATAATTATACTTCAAGGCCTGATTTTATTTAAATCAGGAAGAATACAGAGACAACCAGATTAGATAACAAGGGCTAATGTACATACAAAGTACACCAGCTGTCTGTTCTATTCCAATTCTACCATACAATTGTTTAGTACCCATCAGTTGTTCCCAGTGATCAGCTGCAGTGAGGTGCTATTTGTCTCAGCCTGAAGTAATGAATATTCTTGATGTATGCTTCTATAATGTCCACAGTGTAGAGGAAGGAGCCTAGGCAGGTTTCAGGATAGGCTTTGAAAGTAACGTATGTGTGAACAATACTCCAAAATATGACAAAGTTTTACTCTTTCGGTGAATGAATACAACCTGTGTACACACAGCAAGCCTTACAGGCAATTCAGATACTGTAGTGTTTAAAGTTCTTCAAGAACTACTGCATGCTTTCTTACTGCTCATGACACAAAACTAAATAAACAATTTGAATACTGCAGAATTTTTGTGAGAAGTCAAAAATCAGTCTCTCTTTTTTTTTTTTTTTAAAAATAACAGGGAAGTGTAGACATATGCACACACCCAATCATAAAACACTCAGCTATAATAAGCATATATATTTAGTAACTGTTGTTTTATAGTAAATATTTATACCTGATTATGTACATACTTAATCATTCATTATTAAATTGTATGTGCTAAAAAGACCTGATTCTTAGTAAGGATATAGTTTTGAAAGAAGGTGATTTAATGGAGCATTTGTCCCCAAGTGATGAAAATAAATGTTCAGAATATTATTTTAAAGTATCATATGGTTGTATTTTATATCAACATACTGCCACTGAGGGGCACTCTTGTCTTGATTTAATATTTGCCTTGCCTCTGGTCCAATCTAGATCTATAGATGTATAAATGTACTTTCAAATGTAAGCTCAAAATTACCCTTGAAAAACATTTGTATATATTTCTGTCAGAGATTTACAGGAGTTGAAGAAAGCTGGAAGAACTTAAACTTATTTTGACCATTTCTACAGTGATTTGGTTTGAAACTATTGCAATATTTAAGCAAACACTTACTTTACTTAGTACTTTAATTAGTACTAGTATATTGAATTTTCAGAGGGAGATGAAGACATTTTATCTATTACTTGTGAATTTTACTGAGCCTTGTCGTTTTACAACCTTAACGAAGTTAAGAATAATTTACATTCTTTCCAATTATAGTAAATATGTAGTGTATTGGTGCATGCTGTGATACTAAGCCTAACTCATACAGTCCATGTATGCCAAAGACTGAAGCATTTGTGATCTTGATAATTATATCTCACAGTATTTGTGGATAAGTGTACTATTCATTTGAGAATTTCAAGTGGTTCTACATGAAAGTTAATACAAAATGTTAGATGAAGGTGGAAGTGTATGCTCAAATACTGAGAAATCTTAAATCTGCCTCTGCAGTGAATTTAACCTGTCAGCTTTTATAAAAGGAGAGGATCTGCTCTAAGACCTACTCAGAACTGTAGTTCCATGTTTACAAGCAGCACAGTCATCCTAAAGATAGAGGGTTAAATTTTCTGGAGTCTTTCAAATCTCAACACTGTCCAAAACTTACCTTGATCTAACTAGAGTAATATTCCTGTGGGCTACCTGTAAAGCAGTGTTGTGCGGCTGTGTAATTAATATATGGCCTCTGATGGTCCGATGGTGCTTGCAAAACTGGAATGCTGCAATGGATGGCTATAAACTCGTTGGAAGGGATGGTCAACAAAGGAGAGGCAGTGGGGTAGCCCTGTATGTTAGAGAGTGTTTTGATTGTCTAGAGCTTAATGATGGTGATGATAGAGTTGAGTATGGGTAAGAATCAGGGGGAAGGCCAACAAGGCAGATATCATGGTGGGAGTCTGTTGTAGACCACCCAACCAGGGTAAAGAGACAGACCAAATATTCTATAAGCAGCTGGGAGAAGTTTTACAATTGCTAGCCCTTATTCTTGGGGGGACTTCAACTTACCAGATGTCTGCTGGAAATACAATACAGCAGAGAGGAAACAGTCTAGGACATTCCTGGGGTGTGTGGAAGAGAACTTCCTGACACAGCTGGTGAGTGAGCCAACTAGGGAAGGCACCCCACTGGACCTGTTTTTTGTGAAGAGAGAAGGGCTTGTGGGTGATGTGACAGTTGGAGGCTGTCTTGGGCATAGTGATCACAAGATAGTGTTTTCTAATCTTGGAGAAGTAAGGAGGGGGATCAGCTATCTTGGACAATTGCTACCTTGGACTTCTGGAGAGCAGGCTTT